GTGCAGTGCAGTGATGGTCGCAGTGCAGTGCTGTGCTGTGCAGTGCAGTGCAGTGATGGTCGCAGTGCAGTGCAGTGATGGTCGCAGTGCAGTGCAGTGATGGTCGCAGTGCAGTGCAGTGATGGGTAAACATTATAATCACTTTTATCCACCAAATTACAAGGTCTTTTTTCTCTCCTCAGGTCGTTGCGCTCTCAAGGGCACGCGGTCAATCCTACGTACGAAGCTGTGACGTCTACTGGCCCAAGTCTGTCCCTTGATTCCGAGTATAATTCATCCAGAATACCGAGAAATTAATCCAGGAAACGGAAAAATTCATCCAGGATACCGAGATATTAATTCAAGATACCGAGTGATTGATCCAGGATACGGAAAAATTTATCCGGAATATCGAGAAACTGATCCTTGATTCCGAGTGATTTATCCAGGATACCGACAAATTAATCCAAAATAACAAGTAATTGATCCAGGATACCGAGAAACGGATTCAGGATATCAAGTTACTAATTCAGAAGACCGACTTGTTAATTCTAGAAATCGATCGAACGATAAATCATCGATATCGAGTAGCTAATCTAAAATATCGAGTTTTTAATCCAGTATATTGAGGGTTTAGTCTACGAATGCCAACAGTTCAATAGAAACTGGAAGCTTAGAAAACAATATTTTGTTGTGAACTAAGTGCCCCTGGCATTCAATCCTTTCATCCGCTACTCTCAAGGCAACATTTTCCGCATTTTCTTTGTCACGTCATCCGGCATTTCCTTAGCGTCACCACATACACCCCCGCCGCCAAGATGCCCCCCAACAGCAGCAAACCGGACTCGCCCTTCAAACAGGACGAGGTCCAGAAAAACAGGAGTGACAACATCGAGGTGACCTCGACCGACAAACAGGGGGAATGCCAACAAGGAAACCTTCCCGAGGACGACTTTCCCGCTGCGGTTGACTATGATGACCACCACCCCGAGCTAGAGTTCTCCTTCAAACAGATGTACTACGACACCTTGAACTTGGACTGGTCCAAAGTACTCTGGGATATGGTGTTCTGCATTGTGGCTTTCCACGCCTTCACCTTCTATGGCGTGTACCTAGCAGTTACTCTGCAGCCACGTTGGCAAAGTTGGGTGCTGGTGCCTATTTTATCCTACGCGGGGGGTTTGGGCATCACCATGGGAACCCACAGGCTATGGACTCACAAGGCCTTCAAGGCAGTCCTTCCTGTGAGGATCGCCCTCATGCTCATGAACTCTCTGGCCTTCCAGGAGAGCATCTACCTGTGGTGTCAGAACCACAGAGTGCACCACAAGTGGTCCGATACAGACAGGGACTTCACCAACTCCCGCAGAGGGTTCTTCTTCGCCCACATGGGCTGGAAGATGTACCAAACTCACCCCGAGGTAATCAAGGGTAGAAAGATGATCGACTGCAGCGATCTGCTGGAAGACCCCGTGGTGAAATTCCAAAACGACTACTACTACTACATCGCCATGACTGTCAGCTTCATCCTGCCAACCCTCGTCCCCTACTACTTCTGGGACGAAGGACTCTTCACCGCCTTCTGTACCTGCGGCTGTCTACGTCTGGCCATCACCTTGCACAGCACCTGGTGCATCAATTCCGTCGCCCACCTCTACGGCTACAAGCCCTACGACAAGTCCATGCACGCCTTCGAGAACCCTTTCCTGGGGCCTTTCGCCCTTGGGGAGGGATGGCACAACTACCATCACGCCTTCCCCAGGGACTACCGTTGCAGCGAGATGGACGGGTGGGGCATCAACTTCACCACGAAGGTAATCCAGTTCCTCAGCAAGTACGGGCTGGTGTACGACCTGGTCACGGTCGACGACGAACATGTCGAGCGCAGGATTGCCAGGACTGGGAATGCTGCAATCCGGATTAAGAGGAAGGAGAATAAAACAAAATGATTGTGGCTTAAAAGATAACGGCGGCTATGTTTTTTTCAGGTTAAGGTCTTATTTTTGTTTTTGGCATACCAGTGATGCAAACGGATACTCAGCTAATGTACGTAGCATCTTAAATCCTTCAAAATTGTGGACAACTTAATTAATCATGACAAATGTTTCCATCAGTGCTTCTTTTGTGATCGATTCGTTTAACTTTACGTGCAATGTATTGGTAAATTAAAAATAGCTTTACTCATAATTACTGTTTATTTGAAAAAGTCATTTTTCTATATTAACGTGTTATTGTTTTTCAAACTGTTTTCTTTATGTATTAGTGTGATGTCCATTTACTAGTTGTAAATTTATAATTGTATTTGTAAACTCGTATATTTTCATGGCTACATTGGTTATCACCACTGGCTGGGTAGTGGGTGAGTTATTTTTTGTCCGTCCAACTGATTTATAAGCGGCGGTTCTTATAAGCGGAGGGGCTTGTAAGCGGCGGTTCTTATAAGCGGAGGGGCTTGTAAGCGGCGGTTCTTATATAAGCTGCGGTTCTATAAGCTGTCGTTCTTATAAGCGGAAAGGTTTTATAAGCGGATTTCTTTTTAAGTGGAGAGGCTAATTAAGTGCGTTATTTGTACGTTTTGGTTCCTTATAAGCGGAGTGAGCTGCATGCGTTATATAAGCTATATATCTGCAGGATATACTGCTACCGTTACGTGAATTTAAACTCAGTATAATACAAGGTATAATGAAAGGTATAAAATATAACTTATATTTAAACGGGGATATATGTACCCGAACGAGCTTATATATAAGGGGATGTTGTGTGCCATAAGCCATAATTTCTGTATCTAAACAAATATATGGGATGATCAGTAGTATATATGTAGTAGTATACATATATAAATAAATAAATGGGATGATATGTACAGTATATGTATGTTGACCGTAGCGTTGTCGTATGGTGACAACTTAGTAATCTGTGCAGAAATTAGTGATGTACGTAGAAAAATTTGTGATGTATGTTGATATATTGGTGAAGTACGTTGATATACTAGAGATGAACGTAGAAAATTAGTGATGTATGTTGATTTATTAGTGATGAACGTAGAAAAATTAGTGATGCATGTATAAAAATAAGTGATGTGTGCAAAAATTAGTGATGCATGTATAAAAATTAGTGATGTACGTAGAAAAGTTAGAGGTGTACGTAGAAAGTTAGTGATACGAACTGAAATGTGCACAAATGGGGGGGAGGGGGTAATATGTATGCAGTGGGGGTGTAATGTGTACACAGTGAGGGGGGGGGGAGGGGTAATGTGTACACATTGGGGGGGGGGAGGGGTAATGTGTACACAGGGGAGAGGTGTAATGTGTACACATCAGAAGAGAAAGCATTACTGAACACATGGGGGCTGGGAGATGGGAAAGCTGTTATAATTAATAGATGAACAATGTAATGTGGATTTAAAATATATTATAATTGAATGTTTATCAAACTTAGAAGTTTATTGAACGTAAAAGTTTATTAAACTAAAGAGTTTATCAAACTTTAACGTTTATTAATTTTAGGAGTTTATTAAACTTCGAAGTTTATTAAACTTGTAACTTTATTAGACTTGAAAGTTTATCAAACTTAGAAGTTATTAAACCTTAAATGTTTATTAAACTTGATAGTTTACTAAACGTGTAACTTTATTAAACTTAGAAATTTATCAAACTTAAAAGATATTAAAGCTTACATGTTTATTAAACTTGAAATTCTATCAAACTTAAGAGTTATTTAAACTTGAAAGTTTATCAAAATTAAAAGTTATTAAACTTGAATGTATATTGGTCATGTAAACTCAAGTATCACATAAAGTTTACATATAAATACAAGCGCTGTGTTTTATTCAGATCCTCTCTGACAACACAGACAACACGGCAGCTTGTATGCGTGTTTGAATGTGTGGTCTGGGATATGAATGAGTCAACGCGTGTGTACGTGCGTACTGTGTGCGTGTGTAGTGTGTAGTATGTGTGTACGTGTATTAGTGCCTTTATGAATAGAATGTGTACGTGCCGTATGTGTGCGTGTGTAGTGTGTAGTATGTGTACGTGTATTAGTGCCTTTATGTATAGTGTGTGTACGTGCGAAGTGAGTGTATTGTGTGTACGTGCGTTAGTGCGTGTACGTGTGTTAGTTTGTGTTCGTGTGTATGTTGTGTACGTGTATTAGGGCCTTTATGTAAATTATGTGTACGTGTGTAGTGTGTGTACGTGTATTAGTGCCTGTATGTATTATGTGTGCGTGTGTAGTATGTGTACATAGTGTGTGTACGTGTGTAGAATGTACGTGTGTGTACGTGCATTAGTGCCTGTATGTATAATATGTGTACGTGTGTATTATGTGTACGTGTGTAGTATGCGTACGTAGTGTGTACGTGTGTAGAGTGTACGTGTGTACTACGTGTGCGTGTGTAGTGTGTGTGTGAAAGTGTTCGGTACACAGGCCGGCCAAGGCTTGCGATGTCACACAGAAAAAAACGTGTGAAAAACGCGCGCGTCTGACCCACTTAGAGGGGAGAAAGGGAACGTCAGTTCCCCCTCCCCCTCCCCTACCCCCTACCCCACCCCCACCCAACATCGTGGGGGAGGGGGGAGAGGGTAGGGGGGAAGATGTGCTAGCCCTGGAATGCCCAGGATGTGGGTGATATATATTAAACTATATTATAGTAGATACTACTATTAATATAATAGATAGATAATATTATAATATGGTATAGTATTATACCATACTATATATATATATACAATATCTATACTATATTATTATATATTATTATTATTAATATTTGTATAGTATCTTCGGCATTGAAGAATAGGCCTGTCGCCGATTCTTATATTTTTATTGACTAGACTGGCCTTTTGATCAAATCTTTTCAACGGATGGTAGGTTTATAGTTGTTTCTAGATATCAGTTGTTCCGTAGGATACGTAAGATACGTGGGATAAGTAGGATACGTAGGATACGTGGGATACGAGGCATTTAAAGACTATATATGGCCTCTTGCATGGCCTAGGGCAAGTGGTTAGCCTTTTAGAAAGTAGAGAAGAAAAGGAGATGAAAAAGTGGAATGAGAATGTTAGGAGAGGGAGGGAAGAGGAGGGGAGAAGGAGGAGGGAAGAGAAGGGGAGAAGGAGGGAATAGGAAGCGGAGAAGAGGAAGGGGAGATGGAGAGGGAGAAGGAGGGGAGAAGGAAGGAATAAGAAGGGGGAGGAGTAGTAGGAGTAGGAGAGGGAGAAGGACGAAGTGTAGTGGTGAAAGTGGGAGCGGGGGAGTGTGGGATGAAAGTGAGAGTTGCCCTGGAAGTGAGATGACGGGGAGGGGTGAGAGGGAGAGGGGGGAAGTCAGGGCTAAAGGGGGTGAAAAGGAGAGTTTGCAGGGGAAATGGAGGGGGAGTGAAGAGGGGGAGTTAGCTGTGGGAACCACCAGATGAAAGTAAGAAGAGGCCTCAGCGGTCGTAGCTAAATTTGCATAAACGATATTTCACTGAGACGAGTCAGACCTTCCCCCTCCCCTCCCTTTCCCCCTTCCTCTTCCCCACTCCCTCCCTCCCTCCCCCTGTACCTGTACCTACAACCTGTACCCACAACCTGTACCCACAACCTGTACCCACAACCTGTACCCACAACCTGTACCCACAACCTGTACCCACAACCTGCACCCACAACCTGTACCCACAACCTGTACCCACAACCTGTACCCACAACCTGTACACTGCTCTAAGCTACGAACTTTTGTACACTGCTCCTAGCTACTTTATACGCATTCATTGTACTAGCTATGACCCGAGACGACCAGGCAAGACTCGCATAGTAACAAGCTCACGTATTTCTTTTTAAATCTTATACGTGTGATAACCTCGTGTTTAGGGTACATATGGCTATTAATTCTCTCCAGACGGCTGTTAAATAAGAAGAGTGACTCGTCGTACTCTAACTTAACCTGATGTAACCTCTTAAGTAAAATTTTGAATTGGTGGTGACCCTGATTTAAGAACCGCCTAGGACTCTGGGAGCAGGTAAATCAGCTTCTCTATTGTCCGCTTCAGCTCAGGGCCTATACTTTCAAAAAAAGTTAAGAGATCGTAAGTTCATCCGCCAATTATTGACGGCCTTTCAAGCAAAATCCACCAATCACAGATAAGAAAATAGAGCGTATATAAGTACTTACGTTAACACTTAGCGAGTTTTGAAAGTATGGCCCCAGGGTTCCAAGTGCAGCCTCTGGGCAGCTTGCTAGCTCGGTATGACTCGGCTCGGCCAACTCTTGTCATACTCTCAGGCGACTATAAAGTCATATAGGAGATTCTGGTCAGAGGCTGATTTCGATCAGGTGGCCAAGCAGACCCAGAATGACTCAGCGCCGAGTGTAACAACTATTTGGCCGAACCCTAGGCTGTCCCTGAATTTCGTTAGGGCTCTTTCTATTCTTTTCCTAACCTAATGTCATTTATGTACTCATACAAACTCAATAATTTATTATTTAATTCCCGGTAACCCACTCCAAGTTTTAAGCTAATTACCCGGTAATCCACTCCAAATTGCCTGAAATTCCTCAGAGTCATCAACGTTTATCTTCCGTGGAGTCTCTCTAACTCAACAATCCACAGAGATTTTTCCCCTTTAAAAGTGTTTCACAATATCATTCAAATTCCCGCAAAAAAATAAAACTTCTCAGGCATAAGCTACCGTCAAAATCAAACTTCGACATTGTGGGCATCTTTCTACTAAATAACTTTTCTAAATAACGCAAACAAAACTTCCATTTCACTTGCTCATTCCTACCCAACCTCCTAAACTTCTTCTCCTTACTGGTTTTAAGTTTCCTATTTATCACTGTTCGAAAAAACAGTAAAAATATTGTCTCACCGGCGTGCTTGTGGCCGGTCGCCACGTGAAAATAAACCGTTTATCCGTTTTTTTCAGATGTTGTACGGGTTTCTAGTGTTAAATTTGAATAAAAACGGTCATACATTGTTTTTTCACGTTTTAGCCGGACACTAGAACTCCGGTGAGACCGTTTAATTAGCGGTGATTTTTCTTTCAGTATATATTACAGTATCTATTAGTTTTTTTAAGTCTGATGCATCATCACTGCTGGATGTTTCAAGTACGGATGATATACCTCAGCACTGCTGGATGTTTCTAGTACGGATGATATACCTCAGCACTGCTGGATGTTTCTAGTACGGATGATATACATCACTGCTGGATGTTTCTAGTACGGATGATATACATCATCACTGCTGGATGTTTCTAGTACGGATGATATACATCACTGCTGGATGTTTCTAGTACGGATGATATACATCACTGCTGGATGTTTCTAGTACGGATGATTCTAGTACTGATTTCTAGTACGGTATTATAGCACCAGTTCCACTGGTACCACTTACGCAAGCCTTACTATAGCTAATTTCCCATCTAGGATTGAAGGATTAAACCTAATTTTTCTTAAAATCGCGTAGCCTTTCCTTTGCCCTGGAATATAAATAATTGTTAAAATCATTCTATCCTATTCTTTCTATCACAACTTCAAGTGCACAGTATCCGTGCAGAGACATATTAATTAATGGTTGCCTAGAAACGCTGCTACACTGTTAGAAAAATTACCGTTAACGGTATTACCGGCGTTTCAGTGGCCGGTCGGCACGTGAAAAAAACACCGTGTCGCCGTTTTTATTCTAATTTAACACCAGAAAACCGTAAAACATCTGATAAAAACGGCGAAACAGTTTATTTGCACGGGGCGACCGGCCACTAGAACGCCAGTGGGACCGTTTTTTCTAACAGTGATATGTAAAGGCAAGCCGCGACGACGTAAAACCAATCACACGTACGTGGATGTAGATTCAGCCATAATAAATAATACAAATGTCATCACTTTCTCTTACAATTATTATTGAAAGAGTCACTGAATCATTAACACCTAACCACAATGTCCATACATGAGCCAACGTTAAAAACAAATTCACACCAGCACACTATTCTGCCTAAGGATACTAGCAAAATCCTATGATAACAAGAAAAGGTCACGGCACCAATATGTTATACATCCGGGACATATATGCGACATGGAGACGGAGGACGACGAAGGCGGTGCATCAGCATGACCGTGTATTACGAAGTCCTAACCTTATCATAAGGTCATAAGGCCACGGCATCTATATACGTTACATCCGAAC